CATTATAAAACTATAAAAATATATTGTGAATTTTATTATTTAATATTATTTTTACACATCAGGACAAATGAACAGACCAGATTCATATAAACAGGAAAAATACTGTATATAATTTATAGCCAGTTTAATAAAAACTAGTACAACTGAACAATTCTGGTGTGTTTTTTTTCTAATTCTTATTATTATGTGGTCTTTACACTCTTTAAAGGTAATTTTGATGGATTTGAGAGAAAGATCATAGAAAGAAGTTGGATTATTTAAGTAAACAGCAGGCTAGCTAGCGTGAGCTAATCAACAGGTTTTACTTTTTGTATTAATAATATTGATCACACATTTTCATACAAATTGATTTCTGTTGTTGGTATAAAAACAAACAAACAAAAAATTCTGTTATGTTTTCAAAGAGCCGCTGCAGAGGGACCAAAGAGCCACATGTGGCCCCAGAGCCACAGGTTGCAGACCCCTGTAGTAGGCAGTATTACCAGAAATAATGCTAAATGTCTTTTATTGTTTTTTTATTATTATTTTAGCACCCACTGCCAAAAGGCAAAGGTGATGTATGTTTTTGCTTGTGCTTTTTTTGTCTGTCCTGTTAGCAAAACATCTGTTGAAGCCCTGGACAGATTTTAATGGACTTAATGGGAAGTAATCATTAGATGTACAGCTGATGTACTTTTGGAGTTGTTCTACTTTAAGATGACCAGCACAACTAATGGACATGAAGAAAGACAAAAATGGCTGCAGCTCAGTTAAGGTCTACAGATCATGAGGTGAAACTTGGTGTGGTAGTACCTGAGAGTAATCCTCAACACCTGCACCACGCCCTGACACACATCTTGAGATGTTGTATTTCAGGAAAATTGTGCATTCAGAGTTTGGGAGCTGTAACTCTGTCATTGCTCAGCAGTAGAAGGTTTTAGTTGGGAAAACTCTGATGTGCATTTCTTTAAAGAATGCTAGTAGCGTTCATCCCTCTAGACGAGCCCCATGCCTTGGAGGCTCTTCTTCTCCTGGCTTCTGTCATTCTCAAATATTTACGCCCTGCTAAACTGACGACCGTTGGTGATTAACTACCTATTGTACGGCGGCACAAAGAACCCACACAAACAGGGTTTCCACTCCAAGTTCCAGGCCTGTTTGTTCACTGGCAGCTGAAAGTCTTGATTGCACCTTCATAATTTCCTCTTCCTGCTCCCGTGGTTTCTGATAGTGGGACAGAAGCAGAACATGCTGTTTGCCTACTTCTCCAGTTTGCTTGATAAATGGCCTGAATGCAGTAATCTGAGCAGTTCTCTGATTAAAAACATGATGGGATTGCACAGTGTATGAAGATAAAAGCATGCTTCTTTATCTTTACTCTCTTTATGGTCTCATGTCCTGAAGCCATTTTATAAGTTGCCTGTCTGCTTTGCAGACCAGCTGACTTGTTTGTTACAGAAGCTGAGCACTGAGCTGTACTTTTTACATCTCTTGTGTGATAGCAGTCATATGACTTGGGCATGACAAGGGAGCTGTGGTCTGTAAATTCAGGTGTTCCTCAGGTCTGATGAAACTGAGATGATGGACAGTTGTTTTTCACACGCACACAGTAGAAGGAGCCTTATTGCTCAATCTGTACAAAGCAGTTGACAATAATGTCCTCTACAATGAAGGCTATTGTGTTGTAGTGTGAGAACTGTAGTTCCTTTGTCAGAGGAGCCCAGAGTGGGGCCCGCGGGCCAAATTTGGCCCGCCAAGCCACTTGATTTGGCCCACCAACAGTTGCCAGAGTTACAAGGTTGTAACCTGTTATCCCATAGGTGAAACACAGTATTTCCATTGGTCAAATGACTATATAAAGTGCTGTAGTGAAGGTAGTTTTCAGTCATGGTGCTGACTTTATCTTTGATTTATTAGGATTAAACATGAAACATAAAATGACAAGAAATATTTAGTTCAGATTTAACCACACATGTATATTTGCACACTTTATAAGGCCACAAAACTCGTATTTTCTCAGTTTATATGTCCCATGAGCCTTTGCTACTTGAGCGTATGGCAGACTTTCTCCAAGTGCACAGAATAAAACAAAAGAGGGCCATTGCACAGCTTAATCGTTAAAAATAAAGGACTTTACTTTAAAAAGTATTTGTATTTCATGTATTACATTACTGCATTTGGCCTGCAGCCATGGATAGATTTTCATTTTGGCCCCCTCAGGGAAAATGTTTGGGCAGCACTGGTTTGTGTGGTTTGAGAAACCGCTACAGCCATTTGATTTACCAGCTGAATCTTGTGTTCACACTATTGTTTTCCTCTTTACTTTCTTCTGTTTTTTTCCCCACAATAATTCAACTTGACTCTGAGTAGTGTGACATTTTTGGTTTTTGTAACTTCTATACTTTATTTACTAAAATGTTCCACATGGAAATACATTCATTAATTATTTTAAAACATTGTTCTTTTTGAAAACTGCTTTAGCTTCATTTAGCGTTGGTTATTTTCTTGCCACAATTTTGTTCACTTTAAATCAGGGATCTTAACCTTTTTGACCTCGGAGCCCAATTTATTGAACATAAAGTGACACGAGGCCCAGTCAGACATTACCAATGTATGGATCAAAATGATAATTATTMTAACTCTTGGTTTAATTTTTATTGTATTTACATTATAACTAAATTAAATACACTTATAAAAGTAAAACTCCTGTCAAATAATCACAAGACCTGATTATAACAAACATTTTTATATTATAACCTGCCCAGAACAATTATTTGAACAAATACAAAGGTCAGTCAACAGACCACTCAGGCTTATCAGCACAAAAATATATATTTTTAACATAAATAACAAAAATAGAAAATTCAATAAAAAAATTGTGGGCATAAGATAAATAAATTAAAAACGATTAAATATTTCAAATACAAAAGAAAAAAACTGTAAAACTAAATTTGATAAAGTACAAATGAAAATATAGCCTTTTTAAACTTTTGCATGGTAGAACCAGAAGCTGCTCTTCATATTGGTGATAAACAACAGTAACAGCTTTTTGACAAGTTTAAAGTTTCTTTAAATTACATTTAAAATTTTTAAAAAGAAACTACAAAAAATAATTTGATAAAGTGCAAATTAAAATATAACTGTATTTGATAATGTTTTGAACTTTTAAAACACTGCAGGGTAAAAATAGAAGCTGCTCTTCATATTAGTGACAAACTTTGGTGTTTTTTGATGAGTTACTTTCATTTTTGCTTCTAGTTTTAATTTAAAATAAGTTTCCATTCTCTGCAGGTTTCTAAGGTTCTTCTTCTACATTTTAAAAAGTTGTTAAACATCTGAGTGGTGCACTACTGCTACTAGTGGTGAGAAARTGTATTGCACCTTATTCAAAATCAATGCGGCCCCACGGCCCTCTGCGGCCCAAAGTTAAAAACTGTTATTTTGAGGCCCTCAAGGTGGGCCGCGGCCCATGGGTTAAGAATCTCTGCTTTAAATGGTAAATGTCCTGAACGTAGTGCTCCTTATCAATTCTCTATGGACTCCAAAGCACTTTACAGTGTATTTTATCACCATCCGTGTGTGAGTGACTGTGAGTGCAGAGAGATGAGGCTGCCATGGTGCGGGGTCTTGCAGGTAAGGTGGGTTGTCAGAAAGACTGAGATGGATGGAACCCTCTAACCACTCTGCCACAGCCGCCCAGTAGCCTTTAGCTACTAGACATATGTAAATGCATGCGTACATACATATACGTACTTGGGTTGGGAATATTTGTATTGTGTGCAAAAACATTAATCGATTATTTTTTGGCATTTGACGATTAATACGATTAATGCCACCAGGCTGCCTGGTGCTCCTCTCTGCTTTAAATATGACAAACATTAAAAACAGTTCTGTAATTTATTTATCTATCAACACAATTTAAAGTTTGATGTATAGCCTGAAGTCTGTAATTTTGACACAATTTGGAACAGATTTTTACAGAAAGCAAATCTTTCCCACTAAATTGGTCATGTGACTAGGACATAAGGGTGTCCAGGGACTCCAAGGGATTTATCGTTAAATTAATTATCAGCTAAATA